CCCGGCCCCTCCGCCAGCCTCACCTGGGCCGCCCGCCGCGGGCCGGCACGCATCTGGGCGCCGGGACGGGGCCTGCGACGCGGTGGTGGGCACCGGCGTGGGTGGTCGCGGCGCCGGCGTGGTGGTGGGCTTCGCTGCAGCAGCAACAGAGCGTGGTTGGGGGCCAGGCTGGGGATGTGGACGCGCCATCCCTTCCGCCCCTCGCGCCTTTACCCCTGGGGACACCTGCTACGGGTTTGCCACCTCCGGAACCCTATGTCGCCGAACTCCGCACCCGGCGCAGAGGAGAAGGGGTGGGGACCCCGGGATACGCGCGGACCCCTTCGCGGCATGGGGCCGTAGCACGCAGCGCACCCGACCCGAACCCGCTCCCCTCCGCCCAGCCTCTCTCCAGGGCTCCACCCGCATCCCTGTGAACTTGGGGTATCCTCATTTTACTGACGAGCAAACAGAGGCGCCTGGAGTCTAAGAAACGTGCCCAGGACCACACAAGCACCCGACTGGAGCCCAGATCGGCCGGACAGAAAAAAGCCATCTCCAGTCCTTGGTGAGCGGCACCTTAGCCTCAGTTTCCCCGTCTGTGAAATGGGAACAGTATCTACGTAGACCCCAGGGGCGCTGAGAGGCTGGAAAGCGGGGCGTCCTCCACGCGGGGAGGAGCCGCGCCCCGCGCCCGTACCTGGCAGGAAGACGGGCACGAAAGGGCTGAAGTATAGCACGGAGTTGGCCAGGACGGAGCAGAAATAGTAGCCTTGGTCCTCCTCGCGTAAGCGGCTTAGGGTGAGGCTGAAGACGTCTTTCTGGACCCGCCGGCCCAAGAACTGCTTGCCGTCCAGCCCCTCGGCCGTCTTGATCCGGGTTTGGGAGACGTACAGGAGGAAGGTGGGGCTGACGGCGGCGCCACGCGGCTGGTAGAGCCACGAGCAGCCCACCTCCGAGCTGGGCAGCAGCACCTCGCAGCGCAGTTCCACCTGCTGGCCCAGTTGCCCGGTCACCTCCCGCGGCGACATCCGGAACGGGCTCCTCCCGAGGGCTGCGCCGGCGTCTGCGGGCAGCGGGCAGCGAGACTGAGCCCGGAGCCCCGCGACCCCCGCTTGCCCCACCCGCTGCCTTCCCGGGGGCCGCAAACTCACGGAGCAGCAGGGCCAGCGGCAGGAGCGAGGTGGTCACCGGCGAGGCCATGGCGCGCTCCCTGGGGCGCGGCTCAGCGCGAGCTCCGACGCGCGCGGGGGCCAACGGGGCGCGGAGGCGGGAAGTTGCGCCCTTGGGCCGGCCGCCCAGCCCGATCTCGCATTTGGAGGATGTGATGTCACCCGAAGGTGGGGGCTCGCGGGGAGGGGACCAAAGGCAAACCTCGAACCGGTCGTGGTTTTCACCCAGCCCTGCTGGGCGCGGGTCGCAGGGCCGCAGCGACCCCTTCCCCGGCGGACGTTTGCGCTGAGTCCGCTGCT